ATAGAGTGTAGTAATTCCCATTCGATTCTAAGCACCTTCGTATATGAATATGAGTCCTAAAATCCTGCATCTGTTGTAGTTCAAATTTAGCAGGATCTTTAGCAGGATTTTAATTTATCTTTAGGAGGATTCACTGAATATACATACATTTAGTTATATATTCAGTGAATATACATACTAACAGTTAGTAGAAGCTTGTAGAGTCAACATAATCTGAAGTTAGGATAGTAACTCATGGAAATTACCACAAACAGGAAGGCATGGGGAGCTCTACTCCAATGTTGATCATCATATACTATGTAAAAACAATTCTGTTGCCAACTTAATGCCAACACTAGACACATTTCCCAATTTAATCCCAGTTTTGTAACTTTTACTAGATTGCCTTTTTGGCAGAATTATTCTAAATCCATGTAACAGTTTGTCTAAGAAAGTGGCATATATTGCATCTCAGCATCTGTTTCCAGGCTGTAACACTCCTTAACTTCACAGTCTAATCTAGGCTACTCTGACTGGAATCTCCTGATTAGTTTGGGTTCTCTCTCCTCTCCCTGTTCCCCTCTCAGCAGTGGCAGTCAAAAGCAGCAGATCCAATGTGCAGGCTTTACTCCACTTGTCATGTCCCATGAAGAGCTACACTGGGGTGACATATTTCCTGCAGATGAATTATATGGAGCATGAATCTCATGCTTACCCAAACACAAACCCATGGAGAGCCCTACAAGTCATTGTCTAGCTAGACAATATTCAAAATATAGTTCAGAGTGGTTAAGCAAGAAGGAAGTGCAGGAGCAAGGACATGGAGCTGCCATCTCCCATTCCCACAGAATTGCAGCTGGAGTGGGTGTGTGCACCATGAGGAGCTCAGCTCCCCTCCCCAGCATGGGGAGCTCTGCAAGCCAGGATCCCTGCCATGAAAACCTGGCTGTATTTGGTATTGATTAGATCTAGGTCTTGAGAAGACAGCCACAAGTGGTTGTTCCATGTTCACTGCCACAATTACAGGGAGTTTATACATATAAATACAATATATGTATACTGTATTATTAATATAAATTTGCCTTGGTCAGATTCTCCAATCTTTTAATTTCTAGTACAAAGACACAAGTTTCCATGGGGAGTCTTTGTGGTCAAATTCCCATCCTTAGTCTAAAATTGCCTACATTTGCTGACCTTTGAGAGATTATGTGAAGCTTGATTTTGAGGCAGATTTTTGGAGCGATTGAAGTATAATTTTTGTGCCCTGGGAGCAGAGTTCTGGGTGATTTGTGGGCCTTTCTGAGACTGAGGGCTCAGTATGGGAGCTGGTTCTGTGTGCTCAGTGTTGAGGTGTTACTGGTGTCAGGTGTGGTGAGTTGGCACCTGCATACGGCTTTGGCTTTTAGTGATTGAGGAGCTTTTGGACAAACCCTGCATCTCTTCTGCTCTGGAATTTCTTATCAAGTATTCTCTAGTAGAGGTAAAGAATATTCATGTGAGGGCTGGGCATAATTTTCTAAACAGCTGTAGATTTTTTTCTATGTCCTAAAAATAAGGCTGCTATCTGAGTCTTATGTAAGACACAACCAATCAGCATTGCCACATGATATTCCTCATAGTAAATGACACAGATATGTGAGCATGGCTTGTCGTTCTTTTAAACAAAATGTATAAACCAGGCCCTGGTATTTAACTCTGCTTTCTTTTATTATTGCATGGGTAATTAATTTAGTTTTATTACTGTACAGGATTTTGAGGTTTAATTACATAATTTTTATATTTTATATTATTTGCATAACAAAATGTTGAGGAGATAGTATCATTAATTTTTAAGTTTTGCCTGTGAAGCTGAATTTCCTCTGTTAACAGAGGAAATATTAATAGATTTATTTATATTGGTGAAACCTGTGAATGCTTTCAAATACCAGCGGACAAGAATGCAGGAGCTTTTTGTCCTCATTTCTGGGCAGTAGAGTGATTATCTTTTTATTTCTCTGTCTCAGTCTGCCTCTGTTCCTTTTCTCCATCACAATCTGAAAGAAAAAATTCTAACAGCTTCCTCAGAGGACCCTAATCATTGACCTGAAATGCTCTTTGAAATGTGCTGCTAATTGAGGGCCTGTTCTTGGTGCCTGGTCTTAAGTTTTATTCTTGGAGCTGGAGGAGGTGGTTTTCTACCACCTAGCTATCTTTCTAGCTTTTCTAACTCAGGTCTCCTGTTACAGAAGCTGTTCTGAAAGGTGGAATTTCCAGATTTTTCTGCTGCTTTAAAGAATGCTGCATTTCTTGAGCAACCTGGGCCAGCACCAACAGGACACGTACCCCCTGGCAAGGAGTGAAGCCTGTCCTTATGGCAGTTCAGAGTTAGGAATTCAATTGTCTTTGAGCCAAGGAAGACACTGAGTCAGGTCTCCTCCATCCTGGGATTTGTCCTAACATCTTCCTGAGATTGCATAAAGCCGTTAGTGCCCCTCTTGTTTGAAAGAACTGAGCAAATCTGACTGAAGATGTTTGAGTGTAACTGAATCTCATTTTTTGTCAGCACTCCTAGCTGTGACAAAATTTCACCTGGCACTGGAACTTGCCACTATCTGCAGAAATGGGGGGCATGATCGTTTTTTCTGGTAAAAATGACAGCTTGTTATTGCATGTACTTGATCAAAGTTATGGTTAGAATCTTGGCAAAAACATATTTGTATTTTTGTCAGCACCTCCTGGTCATCATGGCTGTAGAAGCCTGGAGACTAATCTGTTCTGTCTCATGCAGCATCAGCAAAATTCCCAGCTCTGTTCTCATCCTGGATTTCTTTATTGTTGGTGATGAATGATGTACTGGATGAAACAGAAGGAGTACATCTGGATTATCAGATATCATGCTGAGTGCATAATGCTGACACTTAGGAAAATCTCATCTTGTGAGCTGAACATTTTTCATATGGAAGTCAATTTTAGATAATAAATAGAGCACCAGAATGCAAATCCCTCCTGTTCATTACTCCCCTTTATGCAGCAATACAAGACAATACCAGGACTTTAAGGCACAGGCTTGTCATCTGCAGCATTTGTTCTGGATGTTCCCTGCATGCTCTGCAGGTATTGTAAATGAGAATGAGCTCTGCTATTGAAATGCGGGGTCCCAGTAAAATGCTCTAAATAAAAATACACCAGAGGACACATTTTCTGAGATGGAATAGTATGTATGTTTTAAAATAGTATGTAGACAATACAAGGAAACCAACATTTGAGATTCTTACTGGATGCTATAGTCCATTATGCAGTGATCTCTCACACAGAGGACACTTGCATTTGTATTTATGACAGGTAAGCCCTGCCCTACCATTACAATAATTGATTTAATACAGATATTCTATGTGTGGAATGAAAATGTCTCCTTTTTTAATTCTGTGTTAACAGAATTCTGTGTTAACATTCCTCTGTGAGAGGAAAGAACAGGGGGTGTGAATGCAGCACTCCAGCATATTATTCTCATTATGTTGATTGTTCTGTGTAGTGTAAAGCAATAGGAATTTTGGAAAATACTCTTCATCCTGGCATCTGTTGAAATAGTCACTGCCTTCATTGAGGAGAAAACTCAGGCTTGAATTTGCTGGAGTAGGCTTTTCTCAGATGAGAAGAGTAAAATCAGAAGGGATTAAAGTTCAGAATTGAGAGGAAAATGAGGAAACCTTTATTGATTTTAGTTCATTGCCATTGGCATTCTAATTACTGTAACAATTAGAGAAGTGCCACCTTTGAACTTTTCCAGTGTTTGGGGAAATTGATAATCAAGATTTAGGTTTGGCCTCATATAGAATAGCAAATAAGTGTATAAATATCTTCTGCTGTCAGCAGATAACTTTGGTAGTGATCCTGGTTTCTGAAGGGGTTATCATGCAGTTAACTCCAAAGACTGACTGGTATTTCACAGTAGCTCTCTAAATAATTTGTTTTACTGGCATAGTGAGTACAAATTGTAACACTTGGGATTCATCTGCAAAACCTTCTGCTTGCCAATTGTTTTACTCAAAGTGCTTTGGCAGTGTGGTCTGCCAGAAAGAAAGGTCAACAGTAAAATTGAAAACCCTCAGGGATTACACTGCAGTTGTCTGCAGAGGGACTTTGCTCCAGAGCTCGGGGGAGTTTTGCTTCTCCCTGCACGTTCTCTGTCAGAAGGGCTGATGGATTTGGGAAAAGTTCTTTGGCTGACAAAGATGGGGGCAAACCCTGATTTTCTGTGTTAGGCCTGAGCTGCGGCAGCTGTGGAGGGCTCCATGGCCAGGGTGAGAGAAGAACAATCACCTGCAGGCACAGCAGCTGTCTAACAGTCCTTAGCCTGTTCCTTCAGGGTGCTCGAACCTCATTTACTCATTTCAACCCCTAAATACTATTTCATTTTTTATTTCTTCTTTAGTTTCAAAGACAGTGCTCAGATCCAGTGCATTTATTGATTTCAATTACGAGTGAACTGATATTTTATTCCTTGAACATTGTAAAAGGTTTTTTATTTTGCTAAATTTTTATAATAAAGTTCTCCAAGAAGTCCCTGTCAATTCATATAAGTTTGGAAATTTAGAAAAATAGGTTTAGTGCAAAAAATTTGAAAGTCCATTTTAGTTCAGCCGAAAGAAAAACAAAAACCTTATCCTGAACTGTTTTGTTTAATTACTCTTAGTTTTAAAACAGTGTATGAATGTGTGTGTGCAAGGAATTGAGCAACTTGTAAGCAAAAAAGTAAAAGCCAATGCCCAGAAGCTTCCATGAAAATAAAGAAGTTTTACATTCATACCAGCCTTTGAGATGATGAGAAATGAAAAATGCTGCTCAGTGACAAAGTGAATTTTCTACAGCTGCATCCCTCATGCTTTCTGTTTAAAGTTCCAATTTGCTATTCCAAACCAGTCCTCACACGAAAGCTCCCCCTGCAAAGTCGTGTAGCAGCTCACCCACACCTTTTTTTCCACATCATCATATATGTCTTGTTCATGAGTAAAATTTACTTTAATAACACTTGATTTCCTTACCTGCTGACCACTTTGTTGATTAGCATCCTCTCTGAAATGCAGTTTTCTTTCCAGGTCCTTTACAAGTGCAATTTTGTTTTCCCGAATGGAATCTTCTGTTGCTAATGGCAGAGGCTTCAAGTTTTTCTTTAATCCCTGGGTTGGGCTATTAAAAGAAAATTCTGATACTAACATGCAGCAATATATAGTATATCTATAGATATTGTGTGTATATATATATATGTTTTTGTCACCTGTATGCTATAATACATTATGGTGGAACCTATTATTTATTTACATAGGATACAATCATATCACAGGATATGATTTTTTTTTGGTTACTATTTCAATGGGGCATCCCATTCCCAGGCAGTAGAAATTAAAAACACACATCTTAAAGAAAGTAAGGGTTGTAATGCTACAATAAACATCTAAGTTCCATTTATATTTGTCCTGCAATAATGATGTCACAATAAATGCTAAAGAAATGAGTTTAGGTGTTATCTTAGGTGTACAATGTGTACATTTGACTGCTATCAGGCAATAATTTAAAAGTTAATACAATTTGCCATTGATCTTTATCTCACATATTCATGGATCATTTACTCTTTCCATGAACTTTTACTTCTTTAATTTCTCTCACCCTTTTATGAGACCCAACATCAACACTTATTTTTTGTTTTTGTTTTACAGATGTGGTGTGTTTGATTTTACTAAGGCTTGAAAATAGTTGCATTCTTAAATAAGAATTTAGGAGTCTGTGAGAGTGCAGGAGGCTGTGAGAATGCCATGCTGGAACACAGTAGCAGGACACTACTAGGAAGTGTGAAATATCCTCGTAGTTTACTGGAAGAGGTGTTGGGATCTTGATAACAGGCTCTAGGTAAAGGCATAACTGGTGATTATTTTGCAAGGCATCATCCCTGTGGTGTTGTGCAGACACTGAGCTCTCACTCCTTGTGTAGCCAGAATTACTGTCATTTATAATGCCAAAAGGGGAAGCTGAAGCTTCAATAGGTATTTACAGATGATCACAGATACTGTCCAGGTTCCTTCCTGACCATTGTGCCCTGCTGAGGCTGTCCCATGCAGAGGTCAGGATTTGAATCTCAGCAAAAGGAGCACTGTCTGTGGGGAATTCAGTTCTGGGCTGGCACCCAGAAAGCTGAAATGACGAAAGCACATTTAACTAGTCACCTGCCTGGCAGGCACGTTGTGCTGACTTGTGTGGCCATGCCTGTGCAGCAGCGAAGGAGAGGAAGGCACATGGCAGAGGTGAAGTGTCATGAATGCAAAGAGAACACCCTGAGCACTTGTGCCCCAGCTCTGAAGGGCTGCAAGGGCACTGGTGACAGCTGCAGCTGATTTTTGCTTGCTCTTGCAGCATTGTGGAAGCAGACCAAAAGCTTGAGCTGGCCCGAGCGAAAACCTTCACTGTGACCTTACAGCTTTATGCTGTGTGCCTGATCAGGATGCCAGGGCTGGGAAGAGCTCCAGGCACATGCCATGGGGTGATGGCAATTATGTGGCTGTACTGGGCAACTGGGAGGCCTGTGAGGAGCAGTGCAGTACTGGTTTGGAGGCAGGATTCTTGGCACACCAAGTGGTGAGTGCTATAGACACAGGGACACATCTTTCTGTTGTAATAACATTGGTTGATCTAGTATCAGCAGGATGGTCAGGAGATTGTGACTTGCTGTGACTACCTTGAATTGTACCATTGATAAAATATTTCTTACTTTGTGCAGGATTTGGAGTTCTATGGGTAAATAGTTGTATCAATGTACAGGCACTAGCCATGCTAAGACAAAGTTCACACAGTCCACAAAAGACTCTCTCCAGCAATAGAGACTCTTAAGGCCACCACCTTGTTACATCATCATCCTTATTTGCTTGTGTCATGGTAGCTGTTTTTTCATAGAAATCATGCTGGCTGTTAATAAAAGTATTTATGTGCAAACCATTAACTTTTCTGAGATTTTCTGGGGGGCCTCGAATGTTGAAAGTATTACAACTAGAAAAATACCTTTACAGAAGTTATTTCTTAGATTCACCTGGACTAGAAAATACCTTGCAGTATAATGTCCTTTAAAACTTTACTTCTTGCTTACAATAAGTATGACTGCTTTTATATCTGGTGTAAGCAAAGAGTCTTGGAGTGACTTATCCTGCAAGCTCATTAAACCTTTTTTCTCACACTAGTACAGTCTTATGAACCTCTGAGCCCCCACTTTCTTGTATATGTGTTTGTACACTCACATTTCTCCATCTTGAATTCTGTCTTTTTACAGAAGGTATTATCCCTTCTTTTCTTTACTGGATGTGAAGGTTAGGTTAAATGGCCAGAATATCTGAATAACTCACTTTTCTATTTTACAGAAGGTCAGTGACTCGCCCCTGCACCTGAACAGAAATACATCCCAGTTCCCTTTGAGTATTTGTCCCTGCTTCCGTGCATGTGGTTCTTGCTACTTACGTGGCTGGGTTGCTTCTGGGCAGTCCCATGGCATTGGTGGATGGTGCAGCAGGAAGGGAAGGAAGAACAGCACTAAGGAAAGCCACTGGGTTCTGGATCCGTGCGGTTGGGGAGAGGGGAGCGGGAGTCACGGCCTGGGGCTGGAACTGTTTCACACTGCATGGAGGAAGCGTTAGTGGAGGCACCACGGGCTCTTTGGGGCTTGGGAGACACTGTTCACTTTTGCTTGCAAACCCTCCTGGGGACCGTGATGGATTTGCCATGAAGTTCTCCACGTGGTTTGTCCTCGGGGTGGCCGGGGGGACGCTGCTGAAGGAGGCTGAGGGGCTGGCACAGGGGCTGGCTGGCGGCGTTTGTGGGGCCAGGAGCTGCCTGGGGCGGCCGTAGCCGAAGGCTTGAGGAGCACAGGCTGAGCTCTGCTTGTGCAGGGCTGAGGAGGACTGCTGGTAGAGGGAAGTGGCAGAAGTCACCAAAGTGCTGTTGAATGACAGCTCTCTCAGAGACGCCTGGTGCACCTGCTGCTGTTCAAGCAGGACCTGGTTGTGGAGCTGTTTTAACTGGCTCTGATCACTGCACAGAAAACAAAGATGATGAACAGAATTGGTTATGAGCCCCAAATGAGCCAGTTGGCTGCATTTCTGTGTATGAATTCAGAGAGAAAAATTCGATGTCCTGTGATACAGTAAGAGACAGGAAACTGCTACATGGCACGTCCTCTGACATTGTGAGAGGAGCATAATATTAGTTTTCTACTAAAATAACCTTTTCCTTCATGTTCCTTTCTTTGCCAGAGGCACCAAAGCTTTTTATCCACACGCTATTTAACTGAAGATAATTCTTACATTTTAGTATGTGAAATATAAATATAAATCTTACTCAAAGATATTTAAGGGATATCATTGTCAAAGTCACCTTTGTACCTCTTTGCTTGTGTAACTAAGAGTGAGATTTGGTGTATCATAATTTAAATGAGTGTTTGTAAGCCAGGTTGCATTATTTACCTCTTGCTGAAGTGGTTCCTGAAACCAGCACTTTGGTAAAGCTTTGTAATAATTCACCACAGGATATACTACCAATGTAGTTTAGGTGGTGTTGACATTCAGTGACAGGTAGGAGTGGATAATTCAGAGAGGACTTGCATTCCATGCAGTTGTTATTTTCCTAGATGCTATCTACTAGATAGTTTTTCAGGGCTTTTTTACTTTGCAATTAAGGAAAGTAATTTTGCCTTGTCAAGTGGTTTATTTAGTTATTATGTATATGGAAATACAGCACATGAAAAACAGGAGAGCTTTTCCCCTTCCAAAACCAGAAAAGACATAGAAGATATGGAAAAGGATTTCGTAATAAACTATGAGTATTAAATATCTACTGATAAAAAGTAGAAAATGTGGATGTAGAGACCACATAACTGCTCCTGACAAAGCAAATACAGGCTCAACATAATTTGGTTTTAGTTAAAAGACTTCATTTATACAATGTACTAAACAAAAATCACATTAAAGGCAGATAAAGATAGCAATTTCAAGCTTTCATCAAGTAGAATGGTGGAGTTAGTAGTTCTGTGGGCCTGATTTTGTGCCCTTCATGTATACATCTACATAGTAAAGCAATTCTTTGTAACACGACTTTTTTGGGAGGGGGAGCTGAAAGAAATTCTGCTTTATGCACGTATTGGATACTTAAATACTTCTTCTGCCCCCTCTTAAACTCACTATAGCTCAGAAAATAGGTAGGGTGTGAATGTGGGCTCCACAAGTTCAAACCCTGTGCTCTGAGTTCTTCCTCTGCTACATGGAATGTAATGTTTATGCCTTGTAATGTTTATGCTATGAAATTACATCCTGGCTTGAGAGTACCAGTGAATTACTTTGTAGAGTCCTTCCTGAGCCCTTAGGAAAAGCCTCTGCCTATTTAAGAAATTAAATGAAGATGTTTGTGTGCTTGTTGTTAAATTATGTGCGGGAGGTTGGAAAAATGCTGAAAATACTTTTCATAATAGTCTGCAGTGTGAATTCCATGAATTGTCCTCTAAGAAAACTACATTACTTCTTCAAATTTCCACTTCAGCTCCCAGTGCACCAATCACTTTTTAGTTCAAGTGGTTTCACATTATCAAGCATTTCCAAGTATTCTATCTGTTTTAGGGGGAGATGACGTTTGTGGGACATACAAGTCATGAGGCATGGCCTTTGGGATGACAGTTGCTTGCTGGTTGCCAGTCTGTACTATGTGTAAGCCTGAATATGGCTGCTTTGGGCAATATTTCATACCCAGAGTGAGATATGTTTGAAGAACCTGCTTTTATTTTGCCTGTATAAGATCAGTGTTCTTCACCTCTTGATTGCAGCAGAAAACCTTGTGGAATTAATAATACTTCAAAGGGAAAACATTTTCCTTTTTAAATTGGAGGTCACTTTTCCTGAGAGGGATAAACAGAAAAAATAAACTAGCACTGGAGAATTTGTCTTCTAAGATTATGGCTAGTTAGGCCAATGCCATGTAATCTTTTTAGTCTGCATTTGAGTTTTCGCTCTGGGGCAATAGTGTTGTGGTCAATAAATACTAAATAATATCGGTGATGCTCCTGAGAATTGGACTTTTGTTTACTTACAGCTTTGGTTTAGCCAGTACTGGGGGAGGTTCCTTGGATGGTGATGTTGGCTCTGGTATTTTCACTGGCTGTCCGTTTATCTTCTCTGGGAAATGGTTGGGCCTGCTTTGGTTTGTGGTGCCATGTCCATCCTCTGAGGATGATTCATTTCCTTTTTCGTCTTCAGGCAGCTTGAAGTGCACCCGGAGCCCTGCCTTGGAGCTGGACCTGGGCTCGTTGTGGTTCACAAGAACACCCTCGAGTTTGGGCTTGGGGGTTTGGTTTGCTCCCTGGCTGGAAGGAGCTTGGGGGGGAGCTTGGTGCTCAGTAGCCACAAAGTCGATGGAGCTCGTCGTGTGAAGGGCAGCAGCATTGCTGCTGTCCTCAGGTGCTGGAAGAGGAAAGGGCAGAACTTTGGGATATGTAAATGCCAGAAATCAGTGAATTGAAATCACAAAAGTTACAGTTCAGAAAACTCACTCTGATGTCCTCCCAGCTGTTGCACTAACTTGATTGACCTTGTTTGTTTAAGAACAAATTCCCTTCAAAAAAGGAATATTGTAAAGGTAGAGGGAAAAGGGACACTGCTCCAGTTTGGAAAATCAATCAGTGGTCTTCAGCCATGTCCCCAGTGAATTATTCCACTACATCTTTGAAATACAAACATTGTTTTTTTTCCCAGAGAATTCTCACACTTCTTAGTTGTGAAGAACATTGCCAGAACTTGAGCTGCATTGGAGTCAACAGGGCACAGCACAAATCACAGCCTGCCCTGCTGTATTTACCAGGAGCAAAGGACTCCAAGTGACTCTTACCTCGGACAGTCAGATGAGCTATACTGGACACTGTGCCATATTTATTGCTTGCAGTACAGGTGAAACTGCCAGAATCTTCTGAAAACACTTCAGCAATGACGAGGGTACAAATCTCCTCTGCAAAGCATCAGAGCAGGGTTAGCACTTGAAGTGACCATGCAGTACACAACAAACACACAGAACCCTGACTACCTTTGGGGAGATTTTCTTAAGGACTTCCACCTTGCTCAGTTTATTTCTAGTTCCATCAGTGTTATCAGTTTTGGCAGCCTTTGTGTGCAGCAGCTGTTTCCAGCATTGTCTGCAGCAGCTGGTACCCTCTGTGCTCCAGCATGCCCAATGAAAGCAAAGAACGGGTGTCAGCAGTGTGTGGAAAACATTAGAAAATGTTTTCCTAACACTTGAAGTGCAGACTTAAAAGAACTTAAAATTCAATTTGGAAAAATATATAGTGTACTCCACATTCTCAGCTCACTAAAATATAGGTATTTTTTATCTCTGATGATTGAAAGATTAATTTTAATTGACTGGGAACAATTCAAGTGGAGTCATTCTGTAATGGAGATAAATATAAACCACATACATATAGACTGTTGTTTTCAAAAATACCAGTGCACATTTGCAGATGGAGGGGATAGTGCTAACTGTGCTTACAGAAAGTTGTCTTTTGACTTCTTTGTGAAGATGACTAATGGGCACCAAAAATATGCTAGCAAAATTGTACTAGGAAAAATTATATTCCATTTAGAAAAGTCAGTCTGGGTTTATGCCATTCCTGTCTGACCAGTATCTGACACAAATGGGCAGCAGTGCCAGCTAATAAATACCTGTCATGATGGGATTTGAAGTCTTTTGGTTTGGCTAAGTACCTGGGAGGAGGAGGGACAGTAAAACCTAAAGTGAATGTAAATGTGGGCTGATTAAATTTTTTCACCTACTCAGTGACTATTTTTCTACAATTTTGCAGTAGACTTTCCTAAAACCCTACAGGATAAATATTCCATGAGAACTTTTGTACACTTAGACTTGATTGTTTCATGTCATCACCAAGGAAAACACAATAGCAACAAAGAGATTGTTTCCTATCAACTCTGGGAGAATAATAGTTTATTATAGTAGTATGATAACAGAACTAGTTTAAGGCATTATAGTGTCTAGTTTATCGTGCTGGGATCTGCCAACCACTGCATGCATGGAAATCCAGATTCCTTCTGAATGAGCAGCAGGTGATGAGGCTGTGACAACTGCACCCAACTGATTATCCCCTAAAAACTGCTTCACATTACTCAGCAGTGATGCCACTGGACAGTAACAGAACAGTGCCGTGGCTTCTGGTAGAAGCTCCATTTTTATATCCCTAAATCTCAGACAGAGGTAGTTTCTTTCTAGACTCTTTTTGGGATAAAAACATTTCAAGTAGTGCAAGGAGAATACAGAAGTTAATATTCCATAAGAATGAATACTCCTTTGATAATTTTCCATCTTGAGAGGAGCAGCTTCATATCTTTAATTGCAAACGCATAACAACAGATTCATGAGAGTGACTCTGTCATGGAGAGATAACCAAAGCTACAGGGCTCCTCTGCTCCAACCCTGTGAAGTAGTCCACATTCTGCCATGATCTTTGGTCTCAGCAGATGCAGCCACATTTAGAGGATTTGCTGATATCAGGGGTGGAACACCTGATGTGGCACTCTCACATTACGCTGCTCGGGAGCACAGGGGATGGCTGACATGGCTGAACATCTGATGCAATGGTTCCTAACTGGTAAACTAGATAAAAATAGCTCAGCTCTACCTCATCTCATATACTTCAGGACCTCAGATGTACAGGGGACCCTCATACATTAATTTTGTTAATCTTTAACTTGTTTAGATCCTGGGTTAAAACTGGGTCTAAGCAAAGTGGAAACATTTTCTGCAAAAGAGATTGAATTAATTCAAGTTGCATGTTTTGGAACAGTCTATAGTGAAATGTGTTTGTGGAACAGTCTACAGTGAAATGTGTGCTACTAGTAGCTATAGAACAGGAGGAAGAAATTATGTTAATTAAATAACGAAGTTTCAATATTTAATATTTTGTGAGGTTAAACCATCACACTTATGTAATGAAAAATTATGAACCTTTGATGATCCTCACCTGGTTCAGCCATAGATCGTGGTTCTAAAGGGAAGAAGAGAAGAATTATTAGATTGAATATAGTTATTTTTGCCAATATTTATTTTTCCTTAAGCACTAGATATAAAGTTTGACCTTCTTAATATGATGGAATACTCTTTTTGATCAAATTTTCTGTTTCAGGGGAGGTGAAGACAGCCAGGTCTTTCACTCAATGTCAAGGCCACTGAACAATGTGAACACTTATGAACTGTTGGGAACTTTGGGAGAATAGGAAATAAATTCTCCAAGTAGCTGGGTGAGGGTTTTTTTCAATATTGGCATACATTTATTTTATCTTGAAGACAATTTCTGAAACTCTGACCCACATGAAATCAAGATATGATGAACCATTGTTTCACTTAGGTTTAGTTTACTGTGGTATTTAAGGGATTTCTGTTGAATTTTCTCAATTTTAGCATTTCAGTGATTTAGAGAAAATTGCAGATGCTCTGACTGCATTTGAAAATTAAAATTACAGTTGTAATAAGAAATTCAGTGTTGCTATGTTAGCAATTTTGTTGCTTGCCTGTATTTTATTAGACACAATATTTTCACACAAGAAACATACTTTTCTGTAATATCCTAAAATCTGGAGAGTCTTCTATCAGTGTTCCTTCTCTATACCATTCAACCTTTGGGGAAGGAGCTCCTTTCACCCGACATTCAAAAACAACAAGCTGCCCCTCAGAAGCTGAAATATCCTGTAACATCTATTAGAGAAAATGAATAGACAGTCAGTAAATGTCTTCATGGTCTGGATGTAATACTGATTTCAGTAAGATTTAATAAAGTCACTTAAACCCTTGAATGGCTTAGGAAAAACTTTTTTTTTTTTTTTTGAGAGCTCATTTTTAATTATCCCTCTTTACAGTTATCTGACCTCTACTTTTCAAATATGTCATAGAAGAAATTACCTTTGTAAATACAGGAGCAGCAATTATGGGTCTTCCATCCAGTCCTTGCAAATAGTTAGTGGGGCTTTGAGCCTGTAGATTGCAAAGCATCACAAGATGATGTTTAGGTGTGCAGGCATTATTTTCTTATATACAAGAGAAATGTGCTTTTGGAATGACATAAAGGAGATTTTGGTGGATGAAGTCCAAAGCAAAATACCTAATGCAATGAACAGAAACTCTGTTGTGGACAGGTGCTGGTGATCTTCCTGGATAGGATAACAGCAAAAATGTTATTACTTTATTGCCTTACTCAGTTAGTCATGGCAAGAAAAGCTTTAGCACAGTGTATTGTAACATCTTTTCTTCATAATTCAATAAGGCAAATATATGTTGTCTGCTTGGTCACAGTCTTCTTTTAAAAATCCTTAACTTACAAAATAGTTATTGATGCTAACAAGGAAATGTTAAGTCACATGTGTGACTGCTACTAGAATTCTTCTCTTTTGCCAAAACCAAACCTTTACAGAGGTGGGATATCAACCTGTTGATCCTACTCAGTAAAAGAGAATGGAATTGTTTTCCTCCTGGGAAACTTTGTTATATAGGTTGAGTATTTAATATCGGTTTTTATTTTAATGCAATAGGAGTTGCCTCAGAGCAGCAGAATTAATGATTCAGTATCCCAGGAAATAGCCAAATTTACACATAAATGGTGCCTTATCAGCCAACAAAATTTAAAAGTAGCGATTTTTGAAGTAACTATTACACTTAAGCATCTTCTTTCAAAATGGCAAAGTGTTGCAGAGGCTTAGTTCTATTCTCATTGTAATCAAAAGCAAACATGCATTAGTTCACCTGTTCAGTGTCTGGTCATTGGTTACCACCATTGGTTACAGATTTATCTGGGCTGTAAGCTTTGAAAAGGCACTGTAAAGTGAGAAACTCGTGAACTTTCCGGTTTTAAGTAAGTATGGCTCCTCTTTCCTACCAGGGAAGAATTCACAGCTGTGAATTTGCTGTCAGTTTGCAACAAAAAGGACTCCCAATGCACGGTGATGTTAATTAGAACATGGTAATGTTAATTTTCTTTGATGTGGAAAGTAAAATGTTATGTGGCAAACAAGCTTATTTACATATGAAGTAAACATAGCAGTGAAACGATTCCGCTTAAAATAAGTTTCATTGAAAGGAAAAGAGTTCTGTATCGAGGGAGAGGAAAACATGCTGGGCTGGGAAGTGGGTGAGGCAGCCTGCGATGGGGAGAAGGCACATCCAGGGGCCCTTCCAGCCTCGGAGCTAAGGGAATGCACCTGGATCCCGTGCAGCCCAAGGGAATGCACCCGGATCCGTGCGGTGTCAGAGCTAAGGGAATGCACCTGGGTCCCGTGCAGCCCAAGGGAATGCACCCGGATCCGTGCGGTGTCAGAGCTAAGGGAATGCACCTGGGTCCCGTGCAGCCCAAGGGAATGCACCCGGATCCGTGCGGGTGTGAGAGCTAAGGGAATGCACCTGGATCCCTTGCAGCCCAAGGGAATGCACCTGGATCCCGGTGTGAGAGCTAAGGGAATGCACCTGGATCTCTTGCAGCCCAAGGGAATGCACCCGGATCCCGGTGTCAGAGGTGCGGGAATGCACCTGGATCCTGTGCAGCCCAAGGGAATGCACCTGGATCCCGTGAGGTGAGAGAGCTAAGGGAATGCACCTGGATCCCATGCAGCCAAGGGAATGCACCCGGATCCGTGCGGTGTCAGAGCTAAGGGAATGCACCTGGATCCTTTGCAGCCCAAGGGAATGCACCTGGGTCCCGTGCAGCCCAAGGGAATGCACCTGGATCCCATGGGTCCCGTGCAGCCCCGGAGCTGCGGGCCTGCCCCCGGATTCCCCTGCTGCTCCTGCAGCCCGGCAGGAAGGTGCCCGGCCCGCGGCCAGGCTGCCTTGGAGGCACGGCCTCTCCCCTGTGGCCTGGATGGCTGCCAGGCTCAAAGCCGGAGTTCAACAGCAAAGCAAGTGCTAGAACATGTGGGGGCTCTCAGTCACAAACTGTAGAAGAAACACTTTATTAAGAGCTCACTTTTAGTCCTTGAAATGCACCATGGTGTCCCCCCTACCTGGTTGAGAGGTGTTGGCACAGTCTGGACGAGTACAGACACAGGGTGAGCCTCAGCTGACGGTGCCTTGCAGGTTTCTTGGTGCTTGGTTGCAGTTCTGACAGCAGGAGATGCTGCATTCACAGAGGTGTTGGCTGGCTTTGGTTTGCTGTGAAATATTAACCAAGAACAAGTTCTCTAACTTGAAGCTAGAGCTCTGTGTGTGTCCCTAAGTCACATCTGTCTCAGTTACATGCCAACCCCAGCCTCACTGCTGGGACTGAATTCCTCTTGATCCAAGCTGATCTGCACTCCTAGCAAAGCTGCATTTGGAGAGTCAGCCTGCACATCTGGCCACTCTAACCTCTCATACTTGGTACAATAAATGGCCTGGATTAACCCAGCTGTGTTACCAGCTCAGAGCAGCATGAGAAAGCCATGCTGCTTTCACAGAAGACACTGCTATTTTCTATTCTATCAAGAGTTGGGCCTCTAATGTAACACAAATACCGTGGTTTGCTTGGATACAGATTCAGTAATTAATTGCTGAAAAATTTAAAAAAGACATGCTTTCTGACCAACATATCATCAGTTTTGCTACTGTGCAGATTGACACCTCTTCACTTTCTGGTTGTTTATATATGGAAATACAAGAGTTGACCCTTTTTAATTTTATTGCTAGGTGAAATAATGCAGACACTGAACAGCTGCTCTTTTAATTCAGTTTGAGGTTCCCCCCAGGAAAGCTAGCCTTCAAAACAGAGGATGCTTTACTCAGAGTGAAGGTACAAATGTTGTGATCACTGATTTCTCTTTTGAACTTCTTTTAGCACCTGTTCTCATATTAACTTCCTTTAGTTACAGGTGTTCAGATTGGTGTGATGACAGCTGGAAGCTGAGCAGAAATGAAGACATTCTTATTACACCCAAACCTGGTGTTTCATAATGTGATCATTTGAGGAAATCCTACTATGATGTCAGAGCAGCATTCTGAGAAAAAAATTACCTCACAATTTGATGAGGTAAGTGATTTAGAGATGCCATCAAGTGATCAGGATCATGGTCAACCCTACACTCACATCTAATGAGATGAATGTGAAAAAAAAAAGGGAAAAAGCCTGTGACATTTGGACAAGGCTGAGCTGGAATGGAAAACTTCACAATTCATCCCAAACTGATTAGCAGTACATCCCAAACTTGAGACTTTCTTAAGTTTTATAAAACCCCTAACATTTATCAAAGTCTATAAACCAATTCCATCTAGAATACTTTATGATCTTGAAGTTTAAATTGCATACAACAGGATTTGCTGTCAGCCTGAGGTCTTCAGTCAAATACACTGCAAATGTCTTCTCTTTGCATTTTAAAAACTGGCATTTGTAATGAGTGTAATTCTCCTTAGTGATGGAAAAAACCAACAGGGTGCATACATCTATCTGATTAGGCCCTCTTTTATCAAGGACTGGTTGCTTTTGATGTTGAATCTGTGCATACAAAGGAGTTCAAAATAAAAGACTGCTTATTTTAGTTTTCAACCAGTCTGACTCCCTTTCTAGTTAATAAAAGGACTTTGATTCTGAAAGATTTTTAACAGCATTGGATCAGGTTCTGAATCATCAGGGGATGGATTTCATTTAGGAAAAATAAATAAATGAATAAATAAATATTTCACAGATTTTAGATTACATATGACATATTTTCTTTTTATAATTAAGTAGTATTTTATACTGTCACTTCAGTTCACTGTAGTGCATGTTTATTAATTTCTTTATCCTAAATCTGAATAAACAATCTCTACCTATATTCTGCCAAAAACCTTCTGTATTTTCATGTGAGAAACTGTACTGCATTCTTTGTTCAAGTCAGACATTTAAATCAGCATTTAAGCTGGATCTAGTCAAATGGCTTTTCTTTTATTAAATTAATTTTAGAATTTCTATCTTTATGGTAACATCTTTCCTTATATATAAATATTTAATATTAAAATTTCAATTCTTAATCCAAAGTTGAGGATACAAAAGCAAACAAATGTTTGTTCCATACTATTTATAAAGCAAACAAACAAGTGCACAAACAAAACCCAACCCAACCAATCCAAACTAATCCTAAAGAGAATGGTAATGTCTTGGAAGCTGCAGTGAGATATATAAAATGTCTGCACTTGTGGGTTTTTAACTGTAAGAAATATGGGAGGTGCAATTGATTTTAAACTTACTGATCCATTTCGTCCTTGATGATTTCACCTTCAGAGTCAGAAGAAGAGATGCCTGTGAAAAAACAAAAGAAATCATTTAGCAGAGGGGTTTTGAGTTTCTGTCTGAATGGTACAAACCTTTATTCAGCTTTGCTGCAGACCACTCTGTGGGTATGGATTCTAAAGCTGTGCCCAGACAGAAGACCCCATTGCAGGAGAAGTGAACCCATTCCATACTGTGCGAGGTGCAGAGCTGCTGCTGGGTGAGGCAGATTTGGGAGGAGGTGCAGCTGAAGTGAGGAGAGTGACATCCAAGAGGGAATGAATACCTGGATGTTCCTTGGGTTCTTTTTCAAATGCCACTATGATTTGTTGTGAGTATGAGCTTTCTTCTCTCAGACACCTGATGCTATCAGATTAGAAGGAAAAAGAGAGAGACCTGGGGTTGTAGCTGTTATTCTCCAGCTACTGTCTTGTACACGATGTGAAGAAGATACTCGCTCTGTTTACTAACTGCTCTTAGTTACTGAGACTTTTTGCACTTCACTGTGTTGGGATTTGCATTTTCCCTGCAGTTCCTGCCAGTGAGCATCTCCACCAGCCATGGCTCCCATCCAGCACCCACTGAGCTGGGTAAAAGCAGACCTTGGCCCCTGGCTCAACAACTTGTAAATCCCTGCCAAGCACAGACATCTCCCACTGATGTCAGGGGCAGTGCAGATACTGAAAAAGAATTTGTCCTTTCACTGTCAAGCTAGAGTCGTGGAAGGAGAATAACAGCAGAACAAAATTAATCTTTTGGGGAGTGCTTTAATTAATGAATGGCCCTGCTGTGCTCAGGGATGGTGCTCATGGTATGCTTCTCTGAGAGAAAAAGAAAAAAAATCCTAGGTATTTATTTTAAGTTTGTGGTCATGCTAGCACAATAATGGAGTCAATCTCAAATCTCACCCAAGGATGTGTAAAAAAGAAATATAATAAATAGAACACTCTTAGGCCTACTAGGTACAGTAAAAAGCATAAGGAGAAAGAAAGGACACATAAATCTGCAAATATATATTCTGTTTGATTTACGATATCTACCGAGCATGTAGAATATAAAATTGATGGCATATTTATTTTGGTTACAAGGTCCCAAGAATGACTGTAGGGAAAAGGGATTAATAAGTATTAGACGCAAAGTTTAGTTTCTTACACTTCTGTAGAGTTCCACAGACAAAAATACAAAGTAGTTTCAGAATCTGAGTATTTTTAGACTTGGATCTTGCAGTGAGATGTATAAAATCTCTGGGAAGTGACACAATAAAATGAAAGGCCTGGTCTCTTGTCTGAAGTGTGTTTTACAGGAAAATAATAATTATATTAGTAACAATGGAAAGTGTTGACTCCTGCTATATTTTTTATGGCAAAACCATCACAGTTAGCAAACAAGATACGTTATTGTATGTTAATCCTATGACAAGTTTCAGCTATCAGTTTCTGCAGCACTTGTAGGATTACCTTCTATGTAAATCTCTGCAGAAGTGGAGTCTGTTCCATAGATGTTGGAAGCAAAGCAGGAGTAACGCCCCGTGTCCTCCTCAAAAGCCTCAACAATGATCAGGGAGTGGCGGTCACCTGCCTGGATAATTTGGATGTCTGGTGAGTTTTCAAGCTCCTTCCCTTCACAATACCACCTGCAAGGCAAAAAGAAATTGTTTTTCAGTGCAAACAAGTTGATGACTAGGAAGATAATGTTTGAAGTTTTTCTGATGATAAAATTGGCAGGTTTAGCCTGAAGATTCTGACAGAGTACTGCAGGTAAGTATTGAATCAACAGTCATAGGAATAAAATATGAATGATTTTCATAATATTCAATAAAGAGTAAAAGAGCTCTGAATTTGGAACACTGTCAATCCAGCTCTGAATTTCTCTTGAGGTACAATCAGATCTGTGTAGTGGCTTAATGTGCAGCAAAAACCACCCAACTCTAAGTTAACAAATATCCCTCAAACTTGTGTTTCTTAAGTTCATGTTAATTCAGAATGTGACTGAAATTTGTTTTGTCATATATTTAACAATCTCCTTTTTATAAAAGATGGCAGAAGTGTATCACTTCTGAGTTGATCTATTACAATAGAGGTCCTTCCAGACAGAGACAGCCAGGAGACAGCTGCACCTGGAGTGCTTTTCTGCATGACATTGCTGTGCTCCTCTTTAAACACTGCTACATATCCAAGAATCTCTTGGGCCCTCTAGAGCTTTCACACTCTCATCTCAGGCATTCCTAAGTCCCTCAGTGTTCAGAAGGGTTGTTTCAGTGGAAAATGCAGGAATCCACACAAAAGGAAAGCAGAACCTTCACGGAGAGCTCTCTAGGATGTGTCACTGGCAGGAAGCACCAGCTCACTCTGAGCTGCTAGGAGGGGAGAGCAGGACTGATGGATGCTGGTTACTTGTAAAGGCAGAACAGAAGCACACAAAGCATGTGGGTCTGCAGAAACAGATTCAAATTAAATCTAGGCTTTATAAAGAAGATGTTGTGCTGTGTATCAAGATTCAGAATTAAATGTTTGAGATAATATTCAGAAATACCTGTAATTATAGATAACTGGCTAAATTTGAAAAGCCAAACCTAAGTGCATTCATCTTCACTGTAACTTTTCTCACGAAGATTGGTAGATGGATAGATAGATATAAAATGCCACTAAAGTATTTGTAAAGTATTTTCTTACTGTGACTTTCTTCATTACATGTGATTAGCTACTGCATCTTCTGCATGTGAGGATGGGGGCTGTCATACTGGCAATATTGTTTATTCAATTGACTTACAAAAATTAGTAATAATTCCATCCATCTTTTATGGTAACTTAGTAAAAGAACCTGTTGACATTTGACTGGTACTACAGAAAATAAGATTGTTGTGGAAAGGATAAGGATAGGTTTTTAAGTAAGAAGTTGTAATAATTAATATCTCCTGTCTTACACTGTAAGGTACTTCAATACATGTCCATCTCAGATATTTTAGAAAAACATGAATAAATAAAATTTTTGATCACTCAGTTGCAGAACTTTTTAACAAGTTTGTGCTACAAATTAAGCATGAAGAAAATCCCGAATTAATATATTGAAAACAATCTCTAAGCAGTCCATACCAGCAGAAACCCAGAATATAAGAGAAGTATAGCAGAGAATTGAGGAAGGAGCCTCAAGGAATACAGATCTAGCACTTAAATGCTGATTCTGTAGCTGAGCAGAAGAGCAGGCCCTGTTTGTGCCCATGAGCCATCCAACATGGCTTTCTCACAGCACACAGGGAATTCCCTGCATTTCATTCACTCCAGGGATGCCCTGAGCTGCCTTCTGTCTGTGGACACTTCCAGGACTGCACTTTACTCCAGGTAGCTTTCAGCAGCCATTCAGGCTGTTTCCCAAACCTCAGGGGAGCTTGTTGAAGATGCAGACAGTGTTCTGGCCACCAGCCAGACCCATGGAGCACACAGCACCTCTGGAAGCTGGAGAGCCAGCTGTGCTCCCACAAAGGGAGCAGTAACAGCAGCACAAACCCAAGGATGCCAGGTGAGCTGGCACGTGTGGAAGGATGAGCAAGAAGCCCCTGGGTGTTGTGGCTCAGATGACAGATCCACCTAACCCAGCACTCTCTCCTGACAGTGCCCAAAGTGACACTGAGGCAGAGTGCAAAATGAACTATACATGTGTGTATGTTCACTTATTGCCCTGGAGTGTGTTACCACTCTCTTTAACTTCTTCCCCAAGGTGTGAAGCAGCACTTAAAAATAGTTCTAAAAATGTGAAATCACTGGTCTTAAAAATCATAATTTATAAACTACCTCTCCCTTTAAGGATTTCATGATCACAGTACCATTATCGTTATTTTCAAATAGATTAATCTGTATGGTTCCTTGCTAGCATTTATTTTGAAAATACTTATCTTTATTTGTGTTATCTTTATTTTGAAACTATTGGTTTGTGTTTCCATTCAAAATACATTTATTTTAAAAATAATTATCTTTCTATCATCTTCTGATCAACTTTTAGTGGTCATACTCTGTCATTGTCCTCTCAGATCCTCCAAAACAAAATTCTTCAAACAGAAGGAACAGCTACAACTATTTTAAACTTTGCCCATAGTGGCTTGCCCAAATCTGGAATTTTTACCACTAATGTTTGGATACAAAGAAGTTTTTTTGACTGGTCCCCAGAAGTGAGTATCACATTTTCTTTTCTGTTCAGTGCTGTTCTCCCACAGTGTAGGTACAGACACCATAGCTTGTAGCTGGCATCCAGAGCACAAACCTCCCGTGCCTGTGACAGATGAACAACCCTACCACCAGCAAGTAGAGGAAAGGTTTAGCAGTCCCAAGGGAGAAGTGTGGTAATGTGCATTACAGGGTCGATTGAAAATATCCTGTGGCAATTATTAGTGCCTTTTCAAGTTCCAGACTTGGGAATTATATAGAATTCCTGTGATATTAAAGGGAGACTTTTTAAAAATTCTGTTTACATTATGGCTTATTCTGCTGTTGTTCTCAAGAACTGCAGTTGGTGATCACTGAAAATGATCATATTATCAGGAGAGAAGGTTTATGTATGCAGTTGTGTGGCTACAGGCACAAATTTGGTATATGAATGTACAAGTTGCCTTTTAGGTGTGTAATTCATGTAGGCAACTGTGTACTTTGGGACATGAGTCATGGCACTTACTCATGTCTTTTTATATACCTACTCCATTCTCTTCCTTATATTGTAGCCTTGTTTGAGTGTGTGAGCCTTAGCAGATATCAATAAGCATTCATGAGATACCCATGCTCTACAATTTGATTTCATTTCCAGCAGCATCTTTTCAGAACATTAAAATAACTTGCATAGTACAGTGATATTATATTTTTGTGTCCACTTAAATGTGTTTCCTTACTGAATTGGCACATCAGGCAATACACATTACACGAAATGCTGTGATATAATTGCCATTAAGGTAGAACTCACTGTGTTACTGATCAGCTTTTCCAATTAACCTCTTGTGTTTGTGCAGAGTTAAGTCTGTATCATACTTTTATGAGGCAAAATTTCTTTTTCTTATAGCAAATTTTAAAACACAAGCTAATTTTTACACTTCTTTTATTAGTATACAAGTATTATATTCCTTTAGTAGACTCAAACCATGAAGCAGTATTAATTGGTTTTTTTGCAGTTATTTTTTCCTTTGGATAGTCTCAGATTTGCAGCATCAGTGATTTAAAACTTCAGGAATAAACTCCTGTTTCAAACCTGTGTTTAGTTCTCTGTGCAGTGTGTTCTGTAGTCACTTTTCAGCATAATGTTCAAGTATTTTGAGATTAAGTTGGAAAAAGGAGCATGTTGTGTGAATGCTGTCTCATAATGTTTATAAATCAAAACCAATTGGTCTCCTATGAAGTTAAGCTTCATGGAAAACTTTGGTGTGGTGTATCTACTCTGTGGCATTCACATTCTCTGAAAAATCCCTTCACCCAGGATTTTTCTCCTGGGACGCTGAGAGGCCTCAGAAATAAAGGAAAACAATTCTTATCTCATTTGCTTCTCCTCTCTTTTGCTCATGTGGGATGTGTTTGGAGATTGTTTACCCACAGGTGATTGTTTCATTGGATTCTGCTGTGAGTTGTTTTCACTCTTTGGCCAATCAGTGCCAAGCTGTGTTGGGACTCTGGAGAGAGTCACGAGTTTTCATTATTATCTTGTTACCATTCTTTCTGTATCCTTTCTGTATTTTTTAGTATAGTATAGTTTTCTTTAACATAATATAGTATCATAAAATAATAAATTAGCCTTCTGAGAACATGGATTCAGATGCATCATTCCTTCCTGCCACGAGGGTCCCTGCAGATACAATACTACTCCTTCCTTGTTAACATTTGGTTTTACACTTACCATGAAAACCTGCGTGGCAGCAATGAAATGTCAGCTGCAGGGCAGTTCTGACTCTGAGATACGTGCCATGGCTGGAGTAGCAATGCTCTGCCACTGACATTTCATTCCTGCCATGCATTGCAGCGAGAGCTTCCTCATGCAAGGGAGGTTCACATTCAGCACAGGCAGTGTCATCCCCTGTGCCAAATTCATCCCAGACCTTAATCCATTGACTTGACTGGAGCTGAATGTAAGAGAAGTTTGGCTGTAGACTGAGCACTAAAACAGAGAAATGTTTTCATCTGGCAGCCAGGAAGAAAAATCTTAATTAATCTTGCAGGGTTCCAGAGTTTCTAAAAATCTGTGACTAGTTGCAGGTCTGGTCTCCTCAAACAAAGCAGCATAAAATGCAGCTTTTAAGCTTTGTATGCCTATGTTAAAGAATGTTTTCATGGAAACCTTATGACATACAGCCTGTTTTTAGAACATTAAATCCTCATGACACTTCCAGCATAGCTGTGTATGCCAAACCATGCAATGTGATTCATCAGTAAAATTAACCTAAGAGTGATGTGCCAAACAGTTTGGAAAAATGTAGACACCTCTGAACTTGAGCGAAAAGGGAGCGCTCTCCTCACAGAGGGGAGTAAATGTCACACCTACCATTACTCATAGAGAAGCAGAGCTGTAGAAGGGAGCATGAGAAGGAGGTCATCAAACACTTTGGAAATACACCATACATTTCTCTCAAAGGCTTGTTTCTAACGCACAGTGCAGTCAGAGCAAAGCAGTCAGCAGGAATTGCAGTAGGGCTCTTCAATTGCCAGCTGAGGTTTGAGCTGGCTGGAGGCACACATCCTGTGGTATCAGTCTTCAGCTGATGACACTGAAAAATGAGTCACTTCTCACACAAATTTCTAGATAGGCTGGCCAAACGAGTTCCTCTGAATTGTGGGCTTGTTTCTTTAAGGCTGAGTTACCTTTGAAAACATTTGGGCAGGTCTTTCTGAATTCAGCCAAGAGGACTTAGCTTTCCATGTCCTGGTGTTTCACATCAGTTCCCCATTTCTTCCCCTGCTCCACCATGCAGTTTTCTTTCCCTCAGTGAGCCCTTGTGCTGGATAGTTATGTACCACACCTGTAATGTTTTATCATTGCCATGGTTTGGTAATTCGATAAATAATCAAAATGGTATTCTGACCCTGATCCATCACGAATGTAATTTACACCATCTTTTACATCGATTTGGTTTAGTACTATCTTGCTTTCAAACATGGTATCTGCCCTTCATATTTTCCAGTCCTTTCTATCCCTGTGATCAGCTTCTTTCTAAATATCCTGTCTCTAATTTCTCTCTTGTAATCCCCATTACATCAGTTTAACCATCAGACTGCTCCTAGTGTTGACTGATTAACTGCATTACAGAGCTTGCTGAATCCTGTTCTTGTTTCACAGTGCTCTGGCTTCCCACAGTATGACTTCCACTTTGTAATTATCTCAATATATGCATTTTAAAGCACTTGGGATCCCTTTCTGTGGTTAGGAAGTCCATTTCAAGTCAAAGGTCATTAAGGCTTTCTTTCATCAGTTGCTATCTTGCCAGCTGGTCCTTTCCTGGGACTGCTGATTTTTAAATTTCTTTTACCTATCTATTAGAATCCTGCTGCCCTTGCACAGGATTCTACTCCACAGACACAGAACTAACTCACCATAATCCTTGGAAAAGTCTTACCCTCCAAGCAAGACATTTGGCTGAGCACAGTTCTGCTCACAGTCCCACAACTATGGCCAACAAGATGCCTCCTTCACTCTTTCAGAAGCTTTGCACAGCAGATCAAAGATAAGCACTATTTTTAGGGGAAAAAAAGCTACATTCTTGTGGTCCCCATGATTAATGCTACACAAATCCCACAGTACATTCTGTTTTCTGGTTTCCTTGTGCTGCAGCAGTGACTAACAAGGCCACAATACATGGAAGCAAGTGAATATTTATCACTCAGTCAAGTGACAATTTTTGCACCCTCTCTTGGTGTTACTTCTGCACAGTGGTGGAGTTGAAAGAATCTTGGATGAACATGACAAAGTTTTGTTAATAAATAGTTATGGTCAGGAAACTCTTCAAGGAGCTAACATTCCCAGCTTTCTCCTTAATATAGTACATACATACACACACAAACACAAGGGAGAGAGAATTCAGAGTTCCCCCCTTGTCACTTATCTTTTTTTTTTAGTTAAGGTTGTGAAACTGAAAGCTGAGCCTGATCTTTCTCTTGAGCTGCTTGGGACTAACTTTCCCTTGGGGACTTCTTTCTCCCTGTCCCTAATTTCCTGTATCTGATGGATGCTTATTCTACAGAAGTGTAGAAGCTCCTATGTTGAATGGCATTGACATAAGTCACTTATTTAATTAATCAAAATTAACAAAATCAAGTGTTGAAATAGAAAATTCAACTAAAACGCTTCAGTTTTGTTGAGGCACAAATGGACCCAAGTTACAAAGATATCCACCATCCCTTTCTGTGGAATCAAGTGGTTCCTGAGTGGGGTGTGCAGGCATTCTGCTCATCCCTGAATATCTGCAGGATGAGCCATCCAGGCTCCCAGCCTGCCCTTGCAAGCCTTCGGTGACTTCAGAGTGTCAGCTTCTAATTCTGGTGGTTGTTAAACACCTAAACTTGGATGACATGAGCACCTTGTCACTTCTATGTATGTCAACAGCACAAACATGACTGCTGGTATAAGGACAGTGTTGTGGCCTTCTGGAAAAACACCTGAAATGAACTTTGTGTGTTGGACTATAGTCTGTATAATTCAGTGTTCACCTGTTCTGAATATGAACAAAGCCAGGCTGAGTTTGTGCACAGGTTCAGATCCATAAGAGAAGATGATTTCACTTGTTGTCATTGCATTATAAGTTATGAATGATAAAAGGGGGAAAAATAATTTCTCACTTCCAGGGATCCTACTGACATTTTTATTATTAAAATCATTTATCAAGGCAAGTGCCTGGAGAAATAAGCAAAAGAAGTGTTCAGAGTCTTGCTTTATAAGCAGAGAGTGTTCCTAATATCTAGGGGATGATATTTCCTGTTTGTTTTCTGTTAAAAAACCCTCAATTTCTGGCACTGTTCTCTCTTTTAGTCAGACTCCTCTACAAGTTTATGGGCTGAACACAATACAACATTTATAATGGCTCCACCAAGGGAATGCCTCAAAACTGTTAATTAGAGCAGTGAGTTTAGACTGAAGCATAGTAGAAATAATATTCTTCCCAAACAAGGTATTTCCCACTTGCACACACCTACCATTACAGAAACACAAAATGACAAGTGCAGAATATGTTTACCTGACTTCAGGTGCTGGGATTCCTACCACAATGCAGTCCAATTGCACTTTGGATCCTTCAGGAACTTCCCTGCTCTTCAGTTTTTGAGTAAAGCGTGGTGGCTGTCCAATGGGCTCATCAGAATAGACAGATGCAGATTCTGATTCTGTTTTCAGCTCTGCACTTGTTAATTGACTCATAGATTCCAGGTTTGCTGCCTGTTGATCATCTGTTTGTTCAAAAGTTTTCTCTGCTTTGTTTTCCAAGTCTTGAGGTGTTGGAATGGAAAGCCTTTCTCTGTTTTCTGATGTGAGAGACAGGTTAGAGCTACCTTTTTGAGCAGACTTGTTCTTAGAATCAATTTTGCTCTTGTAGTTCTTGCATGTTCGGGGTCGTATTCTTTCAGAGTTGTGAGCTTTGAAAAGTGATGAGAGCTCCTCAATGAAATCTGCTGCCTTGTTTAGGAATTCCTTTTTGGATTCTGATTCAGAAGGAAGGTGGTGTTTCTTTAGATCTTGAGAACTCCCTTTGGACCCCTTTGTATTTCTGACATGTTCCTGACAAAAGTTGGAGTGCAGGCCATTGTCTGATGTTTTCAGAGCTGTAGACTGGGCCATTTGTTTATGTTTTCCCGTGCTGTTCAGCTGATCTGGGGAGCGCTGTGAATGTGCCTGAAGCTCATCCTCTTTAGTTTCCAGTGGATTCTGATCAATAGCTTGTCTTGCCAGGTTTACACTTTCATCAAGCTCTTCTTGGCTCAAAAAGGCAGACAGATCTGGGAGGTCATCTTGGGCAGCTACCTCATCTGAATCCCCAGAAGCATTGCCATAGTGGAAATTATGAGAAACTGGCTCTGATCTGCTTCTTTCACTCTTCCCTTGGTGCTTAGTTTCTGCTAAATAACTCTCTCTCAGAAGCTGAGATATTGAAGTTGAGGTTTCTAAACTGTCGTCTTGCATGCTGCCAACAAAAAGGACAAACAGGACCACGCCTTATCAATAGCAATCTTTTTGATTGAACACAATGACAGGCTTCTGAAAAGCAGAACAGAACATTTTCAAACTGCATCTGTGTGCTGAAACTTGGAAGTACTTGTAATACTTGAGGCATAAGGATGGCCTTGTGTTAAAGGCCTGCTTCTGCACATCCTGCCAGACACTGCTGCCTTCACCCAGTCAAGTTCATCTTGCATCACTTTCTACTGTCAGTAGCCTCACATAAAGTAACTGAGAGTGTGGTGTTTTCTACTCTGTTCAAGGCAAAACTTCAACTACAGAGCTATTAGCTGAGTTTCAATGTCAAATCTTCATCATTGCTGACGTGTATTTCTTAGCTAAGAAACAATCTCACCAGATTAGATTAAGTGTTGGATATTTCAGGGACTGAAAGCTGTTGAGAATAACAGTATTTTAAAGTGAAGTAAATTTAGCTTGAAAAGCACTTAAGTAGTAAGTAAATGAACCCTCAAAATCATAAGAGGCATGTGACGAGGAAGGAAAAAGAACTAAAATATTCTATAATGACAATATTTCATGCATTATAGGAAGCTATAATGGTGCTAAATGTCCCACAGCTTCTTAAATCCAGCATTCTTTCTAATAAGCTATTTAAAGTAAGTAGAGAACTATGTCATTATTTATTGAAAGTAAGTAGAGAACTGTGTCTTTATTTGATGCAAACATAATTTGTACTATAGGGCTTTCAGAATCATGTTCTTAGGTCATCCTGATTCTGAAAAAAATGTACCACACGAGATGAGAGCATCAGGAAGCCCACATTTCACCTGCATGCCTGATCAGCAAAGCTAAAGCAACCCTTCTGATACCTGAACAAGTGTAACTGTGTGCGGTTCTCCCTTTTATTTACATGAGGGCCATGATGAGTGCAGAGGGATTCAGACACCCTGATAACACCCTCTTCTTCTGCTGCCCTACATATGAAGACAAATGACTGCTCTGTACCCCATTCAGAGAGCTGACTCCTCACAGGTACTCAAACAAGTGCATGACTGTTCACTGGATCTGTCTCTCAGACTATGCAGTGCTCATTATCTCCCTCCTGCTTCATTTTTGGTGTGGCAGATCTTGCTGCAGTGGTTTCAGGTATTCCTACCCCAAGCTGTCTGGTTTCTCACCCTACAGAAGGTTCTGTTCCTGTCGTGGCATCAAGAAAAGAAAACATTTGTGCCCCAGCATTGGCCATCTCCATTCACAGCCTTGTGTAACAGCTGAAGTTATCAGGGAAGGAAAAGTTAAAAAGGTATTTCTGCTGTGAAAGGCTTTGGGCTTTTCTAGTGGGACAGTTGTCCCTGGAAAAGGGATGCTTAAGAACAAATGAAGTGGTAATGTCTCATACTGCTGCAGTATTTCTTCCTGGAATGTGAGTGCCAGCCCTTATTCCTTATTTACAAAAAGGAGGGTTTCAATTTAAACTGTTTATGTTCTTCTTCAATGAATGAACATACAGCTATCATAATCTGATGTGCATTTTGAGACCTTAATCCCTCTGCTTGAGGCAGGTTTCTTTATACTGAAATACTCTTGCTTATGTAAATATTGGGCATTTTGTATTGATTTTGCTTTATTTTCATAATATTAAACAAAGAAAACCACTAAGACTACAGAGGCACCCAATCAAAACATTGCTAAGTTTGTACCTGTGCAATGAACAAGAAATAAAATCCATATGAATTGTAGGCTTTTAAGCACACCATGGAGTCCCTGCAGCTGAGCCAGGCTCTGTGATACCAGTTGAACACTTGGCATTAAATTATCTGGTGCAGTGTTTCAGTGAGGCTGTGGCACACAGAGAACATTGATTTGGGAAGCCCACAGGAGATGATATCGTGAGCTGTTTCATGACTGGGCAGAGCTTATAATTTAACCTCTTAAGAGTACAAAGAGTTCTCCATGAGGCTTAAAGCTCCTGCTCAGTGGAAACTGCTTTTGCTTGCTCAGCTTTAACTTCTTGGGCAGCTGTGCCCCCTCAGTGCAGCTGAACGTGTTTCAGGGGCTCTCTTAGCTTGTTTATGTGCTGATCGCAGACTATGTGCTGTAAAGGTCACAGCTAAAGCTACAGTTTCAGCTCCCAAGAGTTTAAATACATTCTAGCATAGGGAGTTTACAGCCTGGAGGACAGACCTGTCCATGAATGAACTGCAGCCTAGAACCTCTCCACGTGTGGCTCTGGCTGAGGTAGAACGTCCAGCTCCTTGTAGCTTTACAGGACACAGTGGAAGGCTGTATTTTACATGGCTGGAGAAGTGTGTATTTTACAAGGTGGCAAAATTTAGCTTGCTGCATTTCTTGGCCACTTTTCTGCAGCATTTCAGAATGGCACATCTTCATCTCAGTGTCTGTAAAGGTCATCAGAGCTGAAAAAAGATGATGCAGATCTTTGGAGGACACTGGACGCTCTAAGCAGGGAAGGAGTATTGTGCAATCAAAACCAGAAGTCAAAGGAACTTTAAGAACTCCTGTAATGGTTTTGTCTGAAAAGTATATGGAAATTGTCTGTCTGAGAGTATTCAGGGTTTCATTTGCCTCTGTTGCACAGACATAAGTGCTATTTCATAGTGCTGTGTCTGTTTCAGCAGAGGTTGTTAATCACAGTGTAGCTTTTCTGCAGGAAACCTTAGTCAAGCAACTGTGTGTTCAGTGTGGTTATTTGAGACTTCATTCTGGTTACATCTGACACTTTGTTCTTGCAGGTCTTCTATTCATATTTTGATGAATTGAAAGCATTGAAACATGAAAGAAATAATTTCTGCTAATTTGCTTAAGGAGTATCACTGCAACATAAGGAGCTACTCTCAAAGATGTGTTTAGGCAAAATAATTTTATAATTCTAGCTTGAAAAACCTAGTAAGGAAGCCACTGTCTGATAGCAAAGGGAGGAAAACAAACAGCTCCCCAGCAAAGGAGCTGGAACAACTTCCTTCTGCCCATTGGAACCCAAGGGGTAGAAGGGAGCAGAGTTCTCCTCCTAGAGTTGGGAAGCAAGATATTAATGAGAATGTGACGCCAAATTCTTAATACTTAGAGGCAATCACTTTTCTTTAGAGCTCACCCAGGGTCAGAATTTTATATCTAACTCTTCTCTATTTTCAGCTTGTGTAGAAGATGACTTTTTATTCTATTTTTAGTAATGAAGTCGTTGGGTTCTAATCAAATGTAGCACTTTGAGGCAGTGCTTGTCTACTGAAGTTTTAAAATATTTGGAATAATTTTATATTTTTAATTTAATGGAAAATGGTAAGTTTCAGCAAGTGTTGCTGTGAGGCAATTGGGCAATCCCATTATGGTTATTAATTCTGCCTTGCTTATGCCTTGAGAGATGTCCATTTTGTTGTGGGGTTTTTTTTTTTTCAAAGAAATGTGCTCAGTGTGTTGTAACTGCAGATGTCTCTGCTGAGCAGATAAGTGCAGATAACTGTGTTGAGCAGGCAGGAAGAAAGACAATCTAGCAGAAACACAGTCAGCAGCAATCTGTGGTGGCAATGAAAGCACCAATGACTTTGCTGACTGGAAAAGTGTGGTAATGAACCTGTATCCAGGGCAGGAATTGCATTGGTGGTTACAAGTAACATCTCTAAACTGGTCTTATTTAGGGGGAAATGGGGTGACTGCCACCAGCAGCCTGCAGTTCTCTACTCTTGACTGGCTCCTTAGCTCCAGCACCAAACCACAGCACAAGGGCATCTTTAGCTTTCCTGGGACACCAGCTGCAGTGACCTTGGGCCCCTGCTGTCTTGAAAGGCACCAGAGGATGCCATGAGCAAAACTGACTCCATGAAGTTCTTTACTCTGCTAATTCAGTTTCCATTAGGCAACTAATTGAACAAGCTTTGAGTTTCCAGGAGCCTATGGTTATGGCAATGTTCTCTTATTAGCCAAGGGATCTTCAGGATTAAATATTCACAAAGGAGAAAAAGTTTGCACAGTTTTGTTTTGGCAGTGGCTTGACCTGACAATCCTTACATGGAAGGGAGGAAATATGTACCACTGGGGCCTTGCATAGAGTGACACCAAACACTTCCATTTCTTCTTGTTTGAGTTTTCTTAGACTCATTCCTGAGTCACCATTGAAAGATCTGAGTTTTTCCTACAGAAATAACATTAGTGAATGCCAGATATATCTGGGATTCCCTTAATTAGCATTAATATCTGGTATATCTCCATTTCATTTGGTGAGAACAGCTTCTAAAGCTTGATGCCCTAAAGATAATTTTTCAAACTCTCCTGTATGTCAGAATAAACAGGTTATATGCAATTAGCAGATTTCATGCAAAAAGCATTGGAACGTTTTCTTTGGCTTTCAAAAGTTAAAAGGAGAAATTTCAGTTGGTACGTGTTGTTCCTGTCTTATCTTTTCAACTCCCATTATGTCTGTTGGGAGTGCTTTTGTGTGAAACCCCAGCAGCAGCGCAGCAAGGAAACAAACTGCTGCTTCTGCTCTGCAGAGAGGCACCTTTGTGGCCTTTACACAGCAGCACTCTGCATGCCCAGCACTCAGTGTGGAAACAGGAAAATTTAGCAAATATTAGAGATTCTATCTACTTCATGAATAATTTAATTGCACATAAATTGCATTTACCCACAGAGAGCTTAACATTTATGGGGGTGTTCCAACTGTGTGATTGCAGCTGTGAAAAACAAGGTAAGAGCTGACACAAGTGCTCTGCCTTGCAGCCCTTGGAGGACCACAGTCACATTCTCTGGGCTTGCAGGAATTGTCACTTAGCAGTGGCCATTGTCACTGTTTCTGGTACTGCCTGTTGACAAGCTGTGGCTGCTGCAAGACAGGCCGAGACTCCAGACAAGGAAAGCTTGGGCTGGAGTAGAGGACTAAGGCTGTGTGTTTGGGGGCGTGTGTGTGAGATATTTTTAAATAGTGTTTAGAAAGCTGTGTGGAAGAGGGTGGTTTACTTTGCTGTTTTAGACACTTCAGTGGCTTTGATT